GTCTGGCATCCTCTCGAGGATCTCAGAGCCCTCAGCTTGGGATCTGATAGCTGTTTTGCAATTCCAGCAGCAGAGGACAAAATCTTCCAGAGGGCCCGTCGGCTGTCTTGAGCCACAGTCCTCGGTGGACACGTCCAGTTATTGGGAAGCCACCAGGGGGACAAGTTGAGGCTTCTCTGGAAATGGTGCTGGAGTTGTTTGGCAGTGCCCGGGGATGCCAGGCCTAGCTGAGCCGCGAGGCCGCCCCAGGCGAGCGTCTCCAGGATGCCTCAACAGCCCGACGGCAGGGGTCAGATCAGCTCGGCACCAGAGTCAGCGCGCATCACAGATGGGGCTGCGTGGGTGCCCACACTGGTGAGGGACGTGTCTGGTCAAGTGTGGCCATGATGTAAAGTCTCCCTGAGAGGTGGCAGTGGGGGCCTTCTCATTGACACAGTTGTCATTTGACCTGGGAGGGCAGTGTCTCTGCTCCCCAGAGCCCAGCCGCCTTCCCAAGGGGCAGAGAAGAGTGAAGGGCAAGACTCAGTCACCCTGTGTGTGGGGGGGGGCTTGGGATTTTCTGGTGGCAGGGAAGCCCCCTCCTGGGAGAGCAGGAGGGCACTGAGCAGAGGGCACGGGTGGACTCTGAGGTTGGATGGAGCCGCCTGCTGCCCCAGTGCCAGGTTCTGCCTGCCGGTGGGATGACCCTGGGCAGCTTCCTAAGCCCGCAGACTTGGCCTCCACAGCTGTAGAATGGGAGTCACGAAGCCAAACCTCTGGGTGACCCAGAGGGGACATGATGTGGACTGGTGGGGGTGGTCTCCCTGGCAGAAGCCCTTTGCCCTGAGTCTCCCTGGCAGGAGCTCAGCCTGTTGAGTGTCTCAGTTGGAAAAAGTGTGAGTTTCTCAATTTTCTCTAGGAAAAAGGCAGGAGAGCCTCGGCCCCCCTCCAGCTGAGCTGTCTGGGCAGCGAGGCTCGGTTGCGGGCAGAGAGCCCCGTGGACTGGCCGCTTGCCCACGCACCTGTTGCTCTGACAGACAGGTACCTCTGAGATCTTGTCTCAGCCTCTGAATTTCTCTGCCTCTCTCCCGCCGCTTTCCATTCAGCAGCTGGGGGCTATCTGGACCCCATCCCTTCATTATCTGATGTGTCCTAGTCTGCGAGGGCTGTGTGGCCCCTCAACCTAGACCAGTGGCCTTCATTTCCTCGGGTCTGGGAGCCCCAAGTCCAGGGTTGAGGTGTGGGCAGGGCTGGTTCCTCCTGAGTCCTCTCCTGGCTTGCAGACGACATGGTCTCCCTTGTGCCCTGGCAGGGCCGTTCCTCTGCCCGCGTCTGTGTCCTCCTCTCCAGTCATCTTGGATCAGGTCCACCCTAAGGACACTTTAACTCCATTGCCTCTTCGAAGGCTTTATCTCCAAATACAGTCGCATTCTGAGGCCCCGGGGTTAGACCGCAGCACGCGGATCCGGGGTGCACTTGAGACTGTGAACACGGCGAGTTTCCACATGCCAAGCGCGGCCCTGGGCTCTGGAGCATCGCTGCCCCTGCTGACCTTTCTTTTCTACTTAAAATCTTCAGCGCTCCCTGCAGCCAGAACCCAGGAGCCATCCAGACTGGACCTTGTCCCCTCCCTGGCACAGACTGGGGCGCTGGCCAGGCCAAGCTGCTTCCCGACCCTGTGGTACTGGCGTGCCACCTGCACAGTGCCCTGAGTGCCTCGGCCAAGGCAGGGCTGCCCCTGGGCCAGGAAGGACGTGGAGAAGCCTCGGTCCCCCTCTTCTTTCCTCTTCTGCTGCGAGGGTCGCACTATGTCTGGTGGCCGCCATCTCTCCAGCTCCACCCCAGGCTTTATAACTCCCCTTGGAACCCTGAGGAGGTGGCCTGTGGGCCAGGGAAGTCCCTCAGCTTCTGAAGGAAGGGCCAGGGGAGCTCTTTCGCAGGGCAGCACCTGCTCAGAATGTGCTGGAAGGGTGCATTTGGAAAGCACATGCCGTGCTTCATGCCTTGGCGTCTTGTTGTATTTTGTTGAGGAATAACTTCAAACCAAGAGAAATGGCCATGCCCCAAGGACAGAAAGGCCACCACCCGGGCCGCCCTGGGCTCATCACGGTGCCGCACTGCGCCCTTGGCCGGCTCCCCGCACGTGAGCATGCACTGACATTTTGCCATATTTGCTTGAGATTTGAAAAATAGAAATATATGTTAAAGGTAAAGATAAGCCTTGTTTCCCCTAGTTCCTGGCCTCTGTCCAGAAGTCACCCCTGAATTCAGTCTTGGGTCTCTCTCTCTCACATACACACACACACACCACATGCATTCATATAGACACACAAATGTGTATATGTAATATATACATAAATTATAACAGAATTTGGTATATGCATATACACAGTGGGTTTTTGTTTGTTTGTTTTTTTTTTTTTTTTTTGCTGTGCTAGGGATTGAACCCAGGGCCTCCTGCGTGCTAGGCAAGCACTCTGCCTCTGAGCTACGTGCCCAGCCACCTATTTTAAAATTCACACCAATGGCATCATTGGCGTAATGTTCTGCTTTGTGAACTGCCTGTTGCATTTTCTTTTATTAATGCCAGTGTGTAGTCGTTCCTTTTGCTGGCTGCATATTGCTCCACCACATCATAGGCCCCCACCCCGGCTCGCCCTGCTGACAGCCCCAGAGTCGGACCTACTGTAATCAGACCAGGTCCTCCTCTGGTTGGGCAGAGTGGAGTCACGTGAGGCTTTATGCTGCGTGCCTTTGGAGCCCTGCGCCTCCCACTCCCGGAGCACAGAGCAGAGCAAATTGTGCGTGGTATGACGCGGGGTGGACCCCAGCGGTGCCAGCTCCCGCCCCCCACATCCTCCCAGAGCGAGCGTCAGTGTTCCTCCGCGGGTAGGCGTGGCCCCTGGCCTGCAGCTGGAATTGTGCAAATATGGTCGTGGGACCAACCGAGAGAGGCTGGCGGGAGAACTCCCCAGGCTTGGATGCCCCCAGGCCAGCCGGCATGCAGAGGTCCTCCCCAGCCGTCCTGGCTCTGCCCCAGGAGGTCGCCCCTGGGGGAGGAGGGCAGCGCGTCCAGCACTACAGAGCGCCGAGCCTCTCCCTGGGCGCAGGCTATTTTTGCTCGCCAGGCCCTGGAGGGCTTCCAGGGCTGAAGATGGGAACGGCCGCGTTCCCACAGCTCGCTGCCCCCATGCTGCCCTCTGGTGCCAAGGGCTCCGGTCCTGGGATGCCCATCTCGCTTCCCTCCCCAGCCCAACCTGAGCTCCTTGTGGCCAGGGACCGTGTCCTCTCCCTCCTCAGGCCTAGCACAAGTGCTGGGTGCAGTCCACTAGGTGGCCCCGGACTCCCCTGGGAGTAACCTTGCACTCTGTCCATCCTCTCTTGCCTCTCGGGTCAGTAGCATGGTCCTTCGTGGAGGGAGACTGTGGGCTGACGAGGGTGGACTTGGGCAGCCTTGCTGCCACCAGAGGCCTCTGCCTTCTCATGGTGAGTGGGTCCTAATACATGGGCCTCCTGGGTTGTCACAGTGTTTGAAAATGACACTAATGACCCACCTGGATAGATGCTTACGATGGGTTTTCTGAAAGAACCAGATGGTACAGCAAAATTCTCAAGGACATTCTGACCTTGATGTGAGGGACAGGGGTAGCAAAAGTTAGGGACTCTGAGGGGGCGCATCCCCCTGAGGGGACCTGGGGCTCCTCGTCGTGTGCTGGCTGTCACGAGCACTCGTGGGGACACAGCACCCTGTGAGCCCAGAGGGTCTGGGAGCCTGGCCACATCTTCTCCTGTCCTCTCGGCCTCGCTGCTGCCCTAGCAACTGAGAGACCTGGAGGATTAACCCGGACCTGTCTGCAGGTGGCCGTGACTGGTGACTGTCCTGAAGTGGCGGTTGGTTAGTTACCCGCATGAACCGCTGACTCGGCGACCAGGGTGCGTGCACCAGGTCTGCATCAGCAGGAGCTGGAGGAGGAGACCGTCTGCCTGGGGGCTGCAGGGGCTTTGGAAGCCCGTTTCTGTTGCTCCCACAGAATGTCCAAGACCAGGTGACCCGTAAAGGCCGGAAGTTGATTTCGCTAATGGCTCTGGAGGCTGGACGTCCAGGAGCCTGTGAGGATCTGGCGAGGGCCTCAGGCTGCACCAGGACATGGCGCAGAGAGAGCCATGTTGCTGTGTGTGATAGAGCAAGGTGGTCGCTCAGGTCTCTCTTCCCCTTCTTGTAAAGCCACTAAGGCCATCAAGGGGGCCACCTCATGATCTCCTCCAGTCCTAAGCTCCACTCCAAACGCCACCCATCTGACAATGGGGGACAGGGTTCCCGGCACATGGACCTTTGAGGGCACATTGGAGTGGTAGCTGTGGGTCTGCCCCGCAGGGACAAGGACGAGTGGGTAGAGTCCTCCCTTGGTGGTCCTGCCTGCTCTCCACCGCTGCTTTTCCTGAGGACCAAGTCAGCAGGTAAAGGTCACTTTGCAGCCTGTGGCCAAGTCCTTGCTGGGCTTGGGGCACCTGTCACGTGTGTGGCCAAACCATGGTGGAGCCAGCAGGAGGCAGCGACGGCAGGACCCTTGGGCCTCAGGGGCCTCCTGAGGTCTGCCCACTCTGCGCTAAACCGAGGCTGCTGGGGAGTGGCTGCTAATGTCTGCTCCTGGTGTGTCCCTTGGTGATATGACATGACTCTGCAGGTCCCTCTGAGGGCAGAGACAGAGCTTGATTCACACCTTAGGCCCACGCGGGTCCTCAGTGGATGGAAATGCTGATCTGGGTCAGAAAATACAGTGACAGAGAACTTGGGCCCGGAGAAACTGCCCGGGCCATCCTGGGGGGAGTCCAGACGCGCATCTTGCTGGAAGACCTGGGCTGGGTCCCGGCTCCACCTCTGCCTGTCAGCGGGCAGGCTGGTCGCCCTCCCTGAGCCTCGTGTCCGCGTCTGCCAGCAGGAGAGGCCCATGCTGCTGCACTCGCCGCCCGAGCCGGCTGCCCAGCGCTGACCGGCTCCTCCCCCCCTTGCTTCCTTCCAGGGCACCTGACACCAGCTCTGCACCAGGCCCAGGCTGTCCTGTCACCAAGTTGCTGCTGCAGGGGCAGAACCATGAGTGGTGTCGCGAGTGGCCTCGCCTCCCTGGGGCTGGCCCTGCTGGTCTGCGGAGCCCAAGGCTTCTTCCTGCCCAACGTCACCCACCTGGAGAGCCTGCTCAGCAGATACCAGCAGACGGAGCCGCACTCCCGCGCCCGGAGGGCCATCCCCAGGACGGACCGAGAGGAGATCCTCATGCTTCACAACAAGCTGCGGGGCCAGGTGCACCCCCCGGCCTCCAACATGGAGTACATGGTGAGCGCGGGCGGCAGCCACAGAGGCTGGCGCCAGCGGCGGGAGGCTGGGCTGCCATCTTGGTTGCCTACCAGCTGGTGGACGGTGGCAGGCCCAGGGTGTCCTCTGGCAAGAGAGCATCCCCGGCTCTGTCCTTGGCACTCTGGCTGCCTCCTCCCTGGGACTCCTCCTCCAGGTTCAGTCAGCCCTACTGACCCGTCCACCAGGCCTCCCGGGGCAGCCTGGGGAGGACCGAGGCCTGGACACAGGGGTCCCAGTCCTAGCTCTGCAGCCCTCATGGGCCTGACATCTCCTTGGTCAGCCGGAGCCTCAGTTTCCACTTTGAGAATCCCACTCCCTTGCTCCTGTGACGGTCAGCTGGAGGACCTGTGAAAGGCCCGCACGTACCGGGGCGACGATGCCCGCTTGGTTGCTGCCCGTCCTCTGGCTCCGTCTGCGAGTACGAGGGGGCCGAGTCCTCGAGGAAGGGCTGTCTGCCGGGCGTGCGACGGTGGGAAGGGCCTGGAGGTCCCGTCAGACCTGGAGGACCCCACACTTGGCAGCGGGTCCTCATTCCAGTCCTACCCTCACCCCCACCCCCAGGTTGGTGGAAGGGCCCACTGTGCGTTCTCCGGCCTGAGGCCGCGCTGCCCAGACCAGAGAACCCCCACACCTGGCAGCTCCCCCGTGCGTGGCTTTGAGCTGTGACCTGCCGCTGCCTGGCTAAGGACTCAGCCACCGTGGCCAGCCACTGCCGTGTGGGGCCGTCAGGCCTAGTGGACCCCACAGAAAACCGTGAACCACCCGCCCCCAACGCTGCTCCCCTGACACCCCATTTCTGACCTGAGGTAGGGCTGCTGCCGTTCCAGCCCAAGATCAGGAGGCAGAGGCTGGAGACAGAGCCCGGGTTTGAGCCCAGGTCCAGCTGAAGTCAGCAGCACACCCCAGCCCTGCCGCCCCCCGCCAGCCCCTGCTGGCACCGGCCTCTGTCGGCACGGCCACCCTCTGCGCGTCCTGTGCCGTCCACCTCGCTCACCAGGCCGCCCAGCCCTGGGTGGGGGCTGACGCCTCCCAGCGCCTTCTCCCCCGTCCTGAACCCCACTCTGGGACTGCTCCCTGCCTTCTCCTGCTTGGGGGCCGCCTTGGCTCCCGTCCGGACGCAGCCCTTGCACCACGCCCTTCTGCAAGGAGCGCTCGTCTGTCTCAGTGACTGACCTCTCTCTCCCGGCTTCAGCTAGAGGTGTACCCGCGTCCCAGCGGGTGCTCTGCGGGCGCCACCCTCTGGAACCCCATCCCCTCCGTCATAGGAGCCACCGCCCCCATCCCTGGGACCCAGCTGCCGACTGTCCCTTGCTGACGGTGTGGCCTTCTGGTTGGAGAGGAGCACGTGCCTGCTGCCCCCGACACCTGCGCTGCACACCTACAGCGAGGGCTGCTGGCCGGTCAGGGCCACGGGACGAGGCTGAGTTTTGGAAATGTGTTAGGAGTCTGCATCTTTTTTCCCTTCAAGAACGTTGTGCAGCCATTCATTTCAAAGGCTTGTGCTAATTTTGGGGAGAGTATGGACGCTCTTTCAAATTCCAATGTGCTGGGCAGCTTGTGTGAGCTGTTTTAGGTTGAAAATACATAAAACTGTGGGTATAGTTGGGTACAGACTCCTCCCCACCCTTGCTGGGACCCTGGCTGGATGCCAGGGCAGGTGCCACCAGCTGGGCATGGTGACTGCAGGTGGGAGCTCACCAGGAGCCAGCCTGCGGGATTTGGGCCCCAGCTCTGCTGTGTGACTATGGCCAGATGTCTCAGCCTCCCTGGGCCTCTCCTGTCCTGTAGCCTGCTTCCTAGATCCTGGCCTTTGCCAAGAGTAACAGAAAGCCATTGAGGTTCTCCCTCCTGAACCCATGGGACGGCTTCCTGGTGAGCTTGGGTGGCGTTGCCATCTGTCCCTCAGCTCCAGTGTGCAAGCCTCACTCCTGGCTGGTTTTCCAGAACCACATTCTGGGGCGTCTTTGGGGGGGGCCCTGTGCACAGGTGTGGTCTTCAAAAGGGCCCACAGCCTCCCGTGACAGCTCTGACCCAGGTGACAGGTCTCATTGGTGTCTTCAGAACTGTCCCTGGGCCCCACCTGGTGACGATGCTACAGGCTGGGTGGGCGCGAGTCTCCTCTCCTGAGCTGCGGTGGAGGCCGGTGGGGTCCGAGGCTCCTTGGTGCCCCGTGGGTCAACTGCCCCAGCCTCGGCCTCCTCACAGGACGTTGGAAGAACACCCAGGTGTGGCAGGCTCTGTGAACACCTGCTGTCCTCAGTGCCAGGTCCCCTCGGCCCCTCACATGAGCTGGCCCTCGGGTGGGATGGGCAGGGCGTGACGTGTCCGTGGGACGGTGCAGGTGTGGAGAGCTGAGGACCCCCAGGGCCATGGAGCATGGTCGCCCTGGGCCAGCCTGCTGGAGTGTCCTTCCACTCCCTGCTCCTGGGCATAAGCGAGGCCAGAGCCAGGCACCTGGCCCAGCAGATGCAGAGCTCCTACCCAGACGGGTGTGGGGCCTTAGTCTGGCCCCTCTGGGGCAGGGTGACACAGGACTCCTGTGCGGGGGCTTATTGGGGAGTTGACCATGAGCCCAGAAGACAGGATCAAAGAGCCCGGCCTGGGCCGCTGCAGGGTATGGGGGTGGGATGGGGGCTCCCGGCGGCTGAGGGAGCTAGCGCCCCCTCCCGGCAGTGGAAGGCACTGCGTGCCCCACAGGCTGGCTCCCCGTTGGCCCAGGCACCCAGGGCTGTGGACTGCCCCTCTTCTGGCTGTGGGGGCACAGGCCCGGGGGGCTTCTGCAGCACTGGGGGGAGGTCTGGGCTTAGTGGACACTGAGGTGGGGTTCTGTCACCCAGAGAGGAGCCTCAGCTTCCCCACTGTCCACTTCTGAGACGGGAGGTGGGCAAGGGGGTGGCCCAGGATGCCAGCACCATCTGCCTGGGGCGCCCCCCCCCCCACGGAACCGTCTCAGTTATCTTGGCCAAAAGGGACACAGGAGAGGCAGGGAGGGAGCAGGCCCGCCACTGCCTAGGGCAGCTCCACAGCAGCTGGCACTTGGGGTCCTGTAGCTGGCTTAACAGGCCCCAGGGCTCTGCCGGTTGGCCTTAGGTGAGCGCCTGCTGTGTGCGAGGGCTGGGGGACCAGAGCCAGAGCACAGTCTCTGCTCCCCAGAGCCGGAGCCTGTCGGGCACTTGGTGGGGGAGCAGCTGCGGGCGCGTGGTGAGCCGGGAGGGCTCTGGGTCTGCCCTCTGCAGAAGGGCAGGGCCCTGGCTCCGCTCCTGATGCTCTTTCCCAAGGCGTCCTCTGCTCTGTGGCCCAGGGGCGAGTGGGCTGCCTCCCCTGTGTGCGGTGCCTTGGCCCAGACCCCAGCCGGCCCCTGTCCAGGTCGGCTGTGCGGGGGGCTGGGCAGCACAGGAGACAGAAGCCCTTCCTGATTTCCCTTAGGATGGGGGTGAACGTGTGCCACACCTGGCCATCTTCTCCAGGGCACTGTGTGCAGGCCCCTAAGGTAGCCTGCCACTCTCCCCATCCCATCCAGACACCCAGTATAGTCCTGTGCTTCTGTCCCCTGTCCCCCATGAGAGCCACCAAGAGTCTAAGATCCCAGGAGTCCCAATGGCTTTTCCATGCCCCTGGCCACGCCCATCCCTGGGCACCTCCACCCTTCATCTCCCCGCTGCTGCCCTCAGCCGGGGGTACCGCGTGCCCGTGTTGCAGATGGAAACCGGGGGCTGGGCGCGGTCGCACACACGTTCACAGGTCGCTCAGGGCCATCCCGAGCCAGGGCCATCCTGAGCCAGGACCAGCCTTAACCAGGACCCATCCTTAACCAGGACCATCCTTAACCAGGACCCAGCCTTAACCAGGACCCATCCTTAACCAGGACCATCCTTAAC